ATGCCTAGCAAAACTTTTATAGAAATTTGAATTCGGGTGGTCGTGTTCCTCCTCTTTCTTTTACTTAGTAGAAATACTAATTTTAAAATTTTTTTTTATAATGGCGATAGGAATTTATTTAAACGAACGATCATCTAAAAGGAGAGAAGACTCAACCTTTATTGAAGAGGTAGGATCGAGCTTGCACAATAGGCGCGTCATTCGGTGAAGTTTCATTTAGGCTTCTTGGCGATAGGATGCAATCCTACTAGATGCCTAGCAAAACTTTTATAGAAATTTGAATTCGAGTGGTCGTGTTCCTCCTCTTTCTTTTATTTAGTAGAAATGCTAAATTTTTTAATTTTTTTTTTTTATATTAGGATTTTTTTATTTAAAAAACAGTGGCCGTCAACTTTCATTCCAAAGAAAGAAAGAATCGTTCTGATTGAAGAGGTATGATCGAGTTTATATTTAGGACAAGACTTCTATTCCGATGAAAGAAGATTCTAAAGAACGGAAGGACTTCTTCGATAACCACTACCGAGAACGAAACGAAGAACTTTTCGCGTCAAGATGTCAAAATTTTAAGGTAGATGCGAGAAAAGTCCATTTCTGATACGGGTAGAACTGATAATGGGAGAAGTGTTATATAGTCATTTTTATAGATCAAAGCAAGTAATCTTTTAAATAGCGTTGGCTTTGGTAAAAATAACACGATGCAGAGTAATTTATTACAAATCGTCCCTTTATTATTGACATATAATAACCTCTTAACCCCTCGCTGATGTGCTGCTGATGTACTTTGGCGGCACTCACTGAGTAATATTCTAAAAATCCAGAACCTATAGTGGTCCCATTGGTACTGGCTGTTCTTCCTTAGGGAGTAGTTAACCACGGAAGTTACTCATGTGTGCCCTTTATTTTTTTTATTTAAACATAGAAACGGACGATTTCGAAAATTTCCTGATTACGCGCAAATGTTACTAACAAACGAAACGAAGAATCGATCCGGTATGCACAATAGGCGCGTCATTCGGTGAAGTTTCTTATAGGCTTCTTGGCGATAGGTTGCAGTCCTACTAGATGTCTAGCAAAACTTTTATAGAAATTTGAATTCGGGTGGTCTCTTTCTTTTTACTTAGTAGAAATACTAAAATATTTTATAATCATTTTTTCATAATAGGACTGTCACAAGACTATATGCGATTACACCGAAACGATAATCAAGAATCAAAAAAATTTTCACGTAATAAGCAAAGAAAAGATAATAGAAAAGGATTTCAAATAGTTTTGTTTTTATTGTTATCATTTGACATGATATTATGTGAGATGTTATACTGAAAAAAAATTTCTCGGGTACATAGTTGATCAAAAAATTTTATTATAATATAAAATTTTTATAATTTCCTTCTATATATTCGTAATCCTTAACGTTATACCCCCATTTTAGCTGAGAGATGAAAGAATGAGAAGCTTAAAGCAAAATCTAGAAGAGATAATTCGAATGAAATGAATGAAAATCATTTTTTAAGAAATCAAGGCTAGATCTAATATGATGTAAAAAAAAATTCACAATAGATTTACCTCGATTTGGATGATCTGCATTTTAATTTATTCATAAATGTATAAATTAATCTGGTTTTTTTTATTTAATCCATCGATATTTAACAAACAAAAAAAAAAAAAAAAAAAAGAAATTCAAAATGAACTCTTTATTTATTCGTCGTAACTTTCAAAAGCTTCAACCTTATAACAATAAAACATTAAGTATCATTTGTAAAAAATCCTACTCGAGTATTGTTGGTGATTATCTTTAAGAGTGAAATTTTTTTTTTAAAAAAAAAAAAAATTGGTAATTAAAATATTTAAATTTGTTAGAGGTTAAACCTAATGATAGGATATATGGATTTCGAGTCGAACAAGTATTTAAAATACTTTTATTGTCATATGTTATCCTTCGAACTTGAATCAATTTGGGTTCTCACAACCCAGCCGTGTCGGTAAACGTTTTTTCTACACGACCGGGTTACGGGAATCTAAATTTTCGTGCTCGGCCTTATAATGATAACACAATAAATTTTATTTATTCACTTTTAGACAAGACATATCCCCGAGCTTGAATTGACAGCAACTCAACTTATACATGAAGTCACTGGAGCTTCACATTTGCATATTGCAAGAAATGATAACAATAATGTATTTGGTGTAGGGTTTTCAACACCTCCCACGAATAACAGTGGAACTCCTCATATACTGGTAAAATTGATAAAAAAAAAACAAAAATATTGAAAAATACTTGCACCTATCTATAATCGACAAATCGTAAAAAATGTAGGAACATACAACGCTATGTGGAAGTAAAAAATTTCCCGTGCGAGATCCATTTTTTAAAATGTTGAATCGAAGTTTGGCAAATTTTATGAATGCTATGACAGGTATAGTACTTTGTAATCCAGTTACTTTGTTGATTTTCATTTTAGAAATTCTTCTTTAATAGATTATTTCACCTATTATAGCAAAAGATTATACGATCTATCCATTTGCAACTACACACAAACTTGATTTTGAAAATTTAAGAGATGTTTATATGGATGCGACATTTCACCCTTATCTGAGAGAATTGGACTTTAAACAGGAAGGGTGGAGACTTGAGCATCAGCAGCCTAATGATAAATCAACCCCTTTACAATTTAAAGGAGTCGTGTATAATGAAATGAAGGGTCAAATGGTATAAAAAAAATTATTTTATAAGAATGTTATTTTATGACTTTGATCATCATTTCTAAACAATTCTTATTATTTAGTCAGATGCTGGATACTTATTCTACACTCGAGTGCAAGAAAATATGTTTCCTGGTACCACTTATGGAGCTGATAGCGGAGGAGATCCAAAATATATAACAGATTTAACATATCAAGAACTTTTACAATTCCATAAAACTCATTATCATCCGAGCAATGCAAAATTTTATACATATGGTACGGTATATATAATGACGATTTTTTTTTTTATTCTTAAATGTTATTAATTTTTTTTTTGTTGAATAAATTATATAGGAGACTTTCCATTAAGAGATCATTTGATAGCAATTGATAATAAAATTAGAGATTTTGAGAAATTTAATCCTGATGAAGGTGTGAAAGTCGTTAACCCATTTGAATCTCCAAGGAGAGTTACTTTATACGGACCTTTTGATCCAAGTAAGCGTTAAAAATATCAAAATAATCAAAAATAACTTGAGAAATAATGACTAATTAAAAATGATTATAGTAAATAATCCAGATAAGCAGGCCAAAATGTCTATATCATTCTTAACCAATGATATAACAGTATGTTATTATTCGTTTTGAATTTTATGAATATTTTACTTTATTTGGTCAAATTTAAAATTTTTCCTTTTCGTTTATTTAGGATAATTTTGAGACCTTTGCTTTAAAGATATTTGGTTATTTATTACTGGATGGTCACGCATCTCCAATGTATAAAGCACTTATAGATACAAATATCGGATCTGATTTTTCCGAAAACACTGGATATGATCCTTCAACTAGGTAAATTATATTTGAGGAAAAATTCATATTTGCTTAGCGTTTACGCAAGTTTGACCGATTTACGATCGCAGGATAAGCTGTATGAGTATTGGATTACAAGGAATGAAAGAGAAAGACGTTCCGTTGGTAATTAGCTTATTAAATAAAATTATATATATATATATATATATATTTGCATTTGTTTAAGTATAATATTCTTTAATTATAGGCTGAAGAGGTAATAAGTAAAGTTTTGGAAGATATTCATCGAGATGGATTTGATCCAAAACGTATTGAAGCTGCAATACACCGAACGGAATTGAGTATTAAACATGTAAGTCTCGTGTCATGTAGATTAATTAGATACAACATATTTATAAATATTTTTTGATCCCAAATAGAAAGTTTCGTCTTTTGGTCTAGGACTGATGCATTTAATAAGTTCAGGGTGGTTTAATGGCTGTAATCCTGCCGAGATTTTGGAAATCAATAAGGTAAATATAAGAGATGATAACTTCTAAAAATTAAAAAAAAAAAAATTAAAGTTAAAATTAATAAAATATATGTATACTAGAATATTGAAATGTTAAAGGAAAAACTAAGGACGGGACCATTCTTTCAAAATCTAGTATCGAAATATTTCCTAAACAATCCACATACACTTATATCAATAATGTTGCCCGATCAATCATATACAGAAAATTTATCACGAGAAGAGCAATCACGGTTATTAGCTAAAACTTCAAAACTTTCACCAGGAGAAAAAGAAGAAATATATGAACAATCAATACAATTATTAAAAAAACAAGAAGAAAAAGAAGATTTATCTATTCTGCCAAGTTTGCACATACAAGATATAAACAAACAAATGAAAACATTTGAATTAAGATTTAGTGATATGAATGGATGTCCAGTACAGTGGAGAAATACAAGTACAAATGGAATAACGTACTTTAAAGCTATTAGCAAAATCGAAGGGTTAAAAGAAGATTTAAGAATCTATTTACCTTTATTTGCTCAAGCTTTAACCTCTTTAGGAACAAAGACTAGATCTATGGCAGACATTGATGATGATATAAGATTATACACTGGTGGTATAAGTACTTCAACTTTTTTATCAACAAATCATTCTGGTAAGTATAAATTATTTATATATTGATAAGTTTTATGCTCGAATGGCTAATATGATGATATATATTTTAGATTTAAATATATATGAAGATGGTTTGGTTATTGCGTCGCATAGTCTCGATAGAAATACAGACCAAATGTATGATATAATGAAACAGCTTATATGTGAAACTAACTTCGATAATGTTGATAAATTGAGAACCATTATTTTTGCTGTAAGTATTTGACAATTATTGATTTTAATTGATTCTTTTGATTTGACCTATATTCTATATTGATTGTTAAATTTTTTTTTTGATTTTGTGATAGAATGCAACTAACATGATGAATTCGGTTGTTGAACATGGTCACCAGTATGCAAGTACTTTCGCTGCATCTAGGCTAACCCCTGCCGTGGTAACTAAATTATTTCAAGATGATTAATAATATTTATTTGATGATTCAACTAAACCTTTATTTTATTTCATAATAGAATAAAGCAGAAACTTATGGTGGCATGACACAACTGCATTTCATGAATAAATTGGCGGGTACTGAAGATTTTGATACTATAATTCAGAAATTGAAGGTATATTTCATTTAAAAACAATAAAGACAATTTATATTTATTGTAGTTATATTAATATCATTTTTGTGATCTTTTTAGGAAATAGCTGAAAATGTTTTTAGTAAAGAATCCTTAAAAGTAGCTATTACTTGTGGTTCAGAAACTATAAATAATAATGAAAATGCATTAAAAAAATTTTTAAATGAGTTACCTCAAAAAAATTTATCAAAAGTTGCTGAGCAAGTAAGATTAATCTGTTGAACTCTAAAAAATGATCTTGTAAATATTTCTTTAATCCTTTTTAATTCACCCAGAGTGCTTTCCGGTCAACACATGAAAAAGCTTTCTTCCCTATGCCATTTGCTGTAAATTTTTGTGCTAAAGCTTTTAAGAGTGTACCTTATACACATCCTGATGGAGCTAAACTACAAGTAATTATTTCAACAGATTATGTGCTTAATAACGTGCATTTATATATATAATTAATCTTTCCTTTAGATCCTTTCTTCATTAATGGGTACGCATTATCTTCATCGAGAAATTCGTGAAAAAAATGGTGCATACGGAGGAGGGGCA